GTATATATATGTATATGTATATATATATATATATATATATATATATGTTAAATTTTTACTTAATTTTAATTTCATCTTATATTACAGTACAGTATATTATATTGGTTTTTGATTTTGTAATGCTAATAATTTTTTTAGAAGATGAGATTGTGTATTGTAATATTGCATTATATTATATTATGTTGTTTTATGTATGTTAAAAGCAATAAAAAAAAAATGGGGGTGCTGCTGCGTTTTCTGTGGCTTCATCTACCTCTTATCAACTCTTGCTGTAGTTACTTCGCAACCTTGTTTAAAATTTAAACAATCACCGTTTCTTAAAATGCCTCTTCAGATAAATCCAACTGATGAATTTATCAGCAACTAAATTACCTAGTACAAGTTAATTATATAAAGTTATATATCTTATACCATGTAAAAGAACAATAAGAAGGTAACTTACATATCACCAACACGATGGTTGTCAAACAAAAAGATGATGTAAAAGGTGTATACCGTAACTAGTACAAAAGTTACAAACAAGAAAAAAGTTTTCCAAAGTAAATCCAAATATAAATTCAAGGTAAATTCAAAAGATTACAATAAATCAAAGAAAGGTGCCAACGTGAAGATGTGTCGTCAGTGGAAACAAAATCCTCTCTGCTGGACTTTGACCACACCTAGTTTAAATAGATGGCTCAAAATTATAGAGAGCGCTTCAAAATAATTTCAATTCTTTACAAATGTAATCATGACAATATTTAGGCAATGTCACGCACGTGTTTTTATTTTTGACAGGGTTTAAAGTGTACTCACGACGATTCAACATCGAAAAAACATAAACGATACTGCTGCCTCTTCACAATTCCATATACAGAAACAAAAATATACAATTATATAAGCTGAGCATGCAAGGAGCGTTACTTCGAAATTATTATTTAGTAGGATCTGATATATAAAATACTGGCTTAGATTATTAAATTTTGGACAGAGATAGAATTACATACCAATGTTATTTATTTCAATTAAGAAATGTAGAAAGAGACGAACAGTGTTGAATAATGTGTAATGTTACAAATGTATATATGCTTAATTGAAATAATTAATAAATTGAACTTCATTACTAATATCCTGCTGTGTAACAAAACATAACAAAAACCATGGTTTTGACTATGTTTGGTTACAGTCGGATATTAGCCATTAAGTTCAATTTATGAATTATTTAGAAATACTTTTATAGGACACGCAACAAAGAAGTTCATTGAAGACACTAGATCTTATTCAAACTTACTTTACTTTATAAAGTTTAAACAAAGAATTCATATAGAAAATTATTTACTTCAAATGAAATATGTTAACAAAGACAACTATTAACCATGATTGAGCTTAGTGAAGCCTTGATATTGAGAGTGAAAAGGGTAGATGATATGGGATTGACTTTATTATGTAAATTATGTTTCTTTTTAAAAAGTAGAAGATGAGTACCACTTTCTGTTATTTTTTTTTCTTTTTATAGTAATCTAAGAGAAAATTATTACTTGCCTATTTTCACAACAATAAAGCTCAATTTATTAAATTACTTTTATAGGTCGACACGCAACAACAAAAATTCATTGAAGACACTAGATCTTATTCAAGGTTACTTTACTTTATAAAGTGTAAACAAAGAATTCATATAGAAAATTATTTACTTCAAATGAAATATTTTAAACAAAGACAACTATTAATCAAATTTCGTTTAGTGAATACTTGATATTGAGATTTGAAAGGGTAGATGATATGAATTATTATGTAAATTATGTTTCTGTTAATTTTTTCTTTTTATAGTAATCTAGGAGAAAAGATATTACCTGCCTATTTTCACAATAATCCAACAGAACATAATTTTATGAGTTTTACTTTAATTTAAAAAAATTGTCAATATATATGTATGTATGATATATGTATCTTTGTTCTGATATAGAAATATTGTTTTACATTTTACATTTGAACAAAGAAAAGTAGTATTCTTAATTAGTAAATAAAAATTTTAACTGATGTATCATCATGGTTTGCCAGAGCAACTTTCTTTGGATGATAAGATATTATTGTTAATCCCCATGGAAAAAGTATTCCATCTTCTTCTTTATCAATGCGTTTCATAAACTTTCCATTAGAATTAAATAGTTGCAATTTGTTTTTGCTTGATATTATGATGTTTCCATCACCATCTACAACCACTCCTCCAGGTTTCATTATTTTACCACAATCATCTCCTGGCCAAACAAGCACTTTGCTGAATTGTTCTTTCTCAAATAATTCTAGTCTACTATGAATATGATTTAAAAAAAGTAATTTTCCATCTTTCGTAAAAGTGACATCATTGTAACCATTATGAAAAACATTAATTTTGTTGAACAAATCAGATTTAACTGTCGCCTTGCTATAAAAACTAAACTTGAAGGCACCGTTATTGAAAAAACTTGTAGCATAAACTTGTGTAAGTAGTCCCTCATTTACTTTGACCCCAGATGGCGCCTCCAAACTTCCTTTTCCAATTTTCCTCTTTACTTGGCCGTCCATCGTACATATTTTGATACATTTTTCATTACCATCATCACTGAATGCTAACTTGTCATTATTCATTTTGTGCATTCTTTTTACGCGTACGCCTTCTTGTAACGTTATTTTACCAATGTATTCGCCAGTTATCTTGCACTTAAAAATTTCATTTTTGCAATATGCAACTAATAAGCAATCATCTTGATCACACCATACAACATCTGTGACCTTTTTACCTATTTTTATCGTGTTCACTAAACCTTCTTTTTCTACATTCAATACTGGAGAATGCTTGACTGATACACAATCAATATTCTCACTCATATTGCCAGTACCATGGTTTTTAAATTCAGTACTTTGATATTTATGGTGATGAAATGAGGATCGCACATCTTCTATTCGGTACAGTATGTGATTTGTATGAGCTCGAAATTTCGCATGGTAGCCATAGCAAGTAGAACATATATACTGTCTGCATTCCTGGCAATAATGTGTTGCCTTTTTGCCAATTTCACAACAATCATATTCACATATTTGTCTTTCTCCCATCTGTTGTATTAAGTAGTTGAAAAAGGTATTTTGAGGAAGTTTCTCAAGTCCACCATCCGGAATTGGATATGTTTCTAAACAAATTGGGCATATCAGCTCGCCCTTCGTCTTGACCCAGTCATACAAACATGACGTACAAAAGCTATGAAGACAGTTTAATGCTTTAGGTTGCTGGAACCTTTTGAGGCAAATGGAACATTCCAATACCTTTTCTCCACCAAGATCTTCCAGGAATTTTCTTATCTTGTTTTCAGCCATGTTGGGGGTTATCCTTTAAATAACAAATATAAAATTGTAATGATTTTCTTTACTGTAATTCAAAATGTGTATATGTGACCAGGCAATATTAGTTTTTTCATACAGTTATGATCTTACAGTAGTTCCACTACACAGTGGCAATGTAGTTGCCTCAGTTTTACATACACACCCACGCCCGAGAACAATTAGGTACAAAATTGTAAGCCCTCTACCTATGCTTTAGCCTTTGTGGATCAAACAAAATAGAAGGTCTGATAAACAATGGAAGGGATTAACGTGAAACATAAGTTCATTTGCAATGCAATATGTATAATTATGCGCTTTACATTCTAGTATAGAAATAGAAAGAAATGAAACAATCGGGTAAACTGGCAAACCGTTTACCTCTGCTATAGCATTCTTTGATCATCTATATAGGTGATCAAACAGTTAATAAACGGGATGCAGTTTATTTTCCTGTCACCACGCACTTAAATATCGTTACCATGGCAGTCCTTTCCCTAATGAAAAATAATGCAAACTAGAAAAATATATATAGTATGTATTTCACAACTTTAGTTAGAAATTATGGAACAGTATTATAGTACTTACTGCCTGTGATACCTGGAACTAGAAAAAGGCAGAAGTTAGTATTATATGTTCAATAAACGTAATGCAAGCTGAATAGTTACGAACCGTTTAAAAAAATACAAAATGGGAATTTCCAGTCTTTCGTCAGGCGACTTGGAATATGACCAAAATTCCTACAGGATATAAACTGGGTAAGGACGGATTCGAATAAATTATTGAAATTACAAAAGCGTGTTGCCGCATCATAGTATTAGCCCGTTTTGATTCGGGCCCTTTAAGAAATTCAATATTCTAAAAATTTACAATCTTCAAATTCAAATTTCATCATTTATGTTTAAATATTTTAATCATTTGCAATGCTTCCAGATATCTCTAATTTACCTATATATAATTTAAGGAATCCTTCTAAAATCAATGTACTATTTGCAAGATTAACTACAAACAATTTTTTTATTACGGTATCAGGGCCAAAATTATGGAATGAGTTGGATAAAAAAGGTGTTAATTTTAACAATACAATTTCTTTTAGAAATCGTATGAAAAAATGTACCTTTTAAATTATAATGTCTAGCTTTGTATAATAATCTCTCTTCCATGTTTTGCATATGGCGCTAAAATATTCTTTTTTTTTCAATTCTTTCTAATTAATTTAATTTTATGCTATTTTTATTTTTATATTGTTTTCTGGGTCATGTTGGGACAAGTTTGCTTTACTTCCAGACATAATGCAAACCAGTAACACTTTCTTTTTTTCTCAAATAATTATTTAATATTAAATTTCAGTCTCAAGTTTTATATCAACAATGTATATATATATATATGTTCATACTTTCTTGTTTTTAAATTATACTTTGTTTTTTTTTCTTATTTGTTATTGATGAAATAAATGTATACTGAATATAAATCTGAATCTAATAAAGAGTACTTTTGTCTGATCATTCACGGAAAAAAGGGTATTATTTTGGCAGAAAATTAAAAATTTTGGCGAGAGTGGATTTGTGAAGATTGTCACTGAGCTTACTTCACATAAATGTGTTTATGGTTGTTGAATGTCGATGAGCATTGCAATGATATCTTCTATATAAATTCACCACCATTTATAAAATCATATTTAAATAGTGTTACACAAGCAGAAACACACAAAAAACAAACTCAATTCTAACCGAAACAATTACCATTATTTTTTTCAAACACTGGCTGCAACTGCAAAGTTGTTTATATCACATAACAAGATCTAATAGGCCTACAATCAAAATTAAAAAACAAAATTTATGATCCTTCAAAAAATTGTTTTCGAAAATACCAATTATTAGGCACTGCACTATAAACTCCCCTGTTTGACGTAAGAAACAGGTAAAAATAATTTAAAAATCGTTAGACAATATATAATATAAGATCAAATTAGGCATTTACTGTATTATTCACTTAAACATTAAAGCAAATTAGGCCTATATATTTTATTTTTATTTTGTTTTAAACTTATTTACAAGATATATTGTCAGACGAATGTTAAAACCTGTTTTAACAACCATGGTCCTGCACAATAGAATACAATAAAAAAAATGTTTAAAAAAAACTCCGTCCACATAACAATACAATTCAAATTATACACAATATCATTTCAAATACCCACATATAGAAGATACTTAATAATGCACATAATATTATTAGTCAGTACGATATTTTTGACTACTCCCCTACATGTACATATTTAGGAATACACGGGGGAGGGGGTGGGAAGTACAGCCCAACATCGACTATTTCATACCTAGCTATGTGAAGCGTATAAAACTGTACACATGAGCAGAATCAAGATTCAATGTACCCTTTTATCTAATTAATATTCATGAGATATAGTAAAACAAATACGGTACAACTTGATTATTTCATTGTTGGATGATGGGGACTACCTCAGGACGCGTATTTCTCTGTGTTGAAACATTGTATAAACGCACGCAAAAAAAAAAACAAAAAAAAAACTGTAATGCTTAAAATTTTATTATAGTTAATTAAAATCTAATGCCTTTTATTTGGTACAAAACAATAGAATCATGAAAAATTGTATACAGTGGAATGTAATCATGGTGTATTACATAATCACAATCTGACTTCTTCAACTATGAATAGAGGATTTTGTGTAGGGGACGATTTTCTATTGAGTTTTTACTACTTATTACAATTCACAGTCTACAAAGTAACTATTTACAACATACATTTGGTTTGGTGGAGTAAAAAAAACTCGCATTAAGACTAGATTCGGCCAGACTCACGGTTTAGATGAAATGTACAAAGTACAATATTTATGTAACAAAAACATAGTTACTTTATACAAAATATTTAATATTATTTTTTTAAATTATTATTTTGAAGAAAATGGTGCCGTCTTCAGTCAGTTGGCTACAGTGTGCCGCCACTGCTAATGAATTTTCGGCATTCTACTTTATCTTACCATTCTCATTAATAATCGAACTATATCAGTTTCTGGATTTGGTGGGTCCTAAGGCCCTGTTATTCAACCCCCGGCCCGCGGGCAAAATGTGGCCCGCGAAACATTACTAAAAAAAATCATTTTCCGGCCTTTAAAAAAAAAAAATTTTCTGTTTAGAAAAACAACACATGGGTACCCCTACTCTAGCAATGTTTACAAGAGTGTGGATTTTTCTGAATGTAGCTCACTGTATCTAGTGGTGTAGGGTACTGGCATGGGGAGGGGTAGACTAATGAGGCAATGGATTAAGTGGGGCACTGATACGATCCGAAAACTTTTTATGGTTTTTGAGTCTGAAAGTGTACTTTCCCTGAATGTAGAGGTATCTACGTTACAAATGTGCTCACCTCAACCCCAAGCACTGGTGAGCGGTTATTTTGTGGTAGGAAAATTTCTAGTGGCAGGATAGGAGAACCTGGAGTGCAGTTTTTTTTTTCTTCAAAATTATAAAAGAAAGAAAAGAGAAGAAAGGAAATTAAAATTCAAATTTAAGTCTGAGAGTGCCAGTGCCATTTCCAACCATCAGAGATGCCATAATCATAATTTTCTTGCCTCAGCCCAACCATGGTGGGGATGAGGTTGTATTTCTTCTCTCTGTAAAAGTTGTTCCCTGGCCCCTTCTATTTCGAATTCACCGCTATAAAAGAAAATGGAAGTACACAATTTATGTCGACCCACCGCTGGTCTCAACAAATTAGAACTGGCCCTCAGCTTAAAAAGGTTGAATCAGGCCCGTAGACCTATCACATTCAATTTGAATCGTGTGACTCAAACTATGTAAGAGAAATTGAACGTTTTCTTAAGTCACGGTTTGTAGAGCATTGTCGTCCAAGCACAGTTTCGTTCGTCTATAGTTTCGAAACACATTAATACGGCAAATCCGGACCTGGCATTGTCCTGGATAAGACGGAGATCTTAAAAGTATGAAATAACATCAACAAAGAGCAGAAGAAGGGGACGGACCTAACCAAGCATACTGAGGGAACCGCTCTGATGTCCTAATAAAATCAGATGAGTCATCGAGAACAAGACCACAGCAATGGTTGAAAGTTTGCAAGGTAAGCTCGTAAAATAATATCCACTGTTCAAAGTTTAAAATATTATATTAAAAAGGTTAATATTGGTCATCCACACTGCATGACTCTACTACTTGATTTCCTCTTCCTACATAGTTTACTTTGTGTTCTCTGTTAACAGTGACAGCGTCAAAAGTTCTCAGACCAGAGGTTAGACCGAAAGGGGGTTCAAGGTACCCGACAAAAGATCCAAGTTACCCGACTCAAGTGCGGCCCTGACGGGGGTCCAAATTCTCCTCAGCGTTAACCTGTCCGTGTTAGGAGAGTGATTTTAAAAATAGGCACCTCTGAGTTACTGTTAAATAATACTTCCATAAAGCACTGTTTTCTGACAAAATTATTAGCTTCTTCCCCGACAGAGAGTCCAGGGTTCCATAAGTGTGTATTGTCCCCCTCTCCCAGGAGCCCATTGACGGTGCCATTGTCTGTAAATACTTATACCTGATTCAGACTAGCTTCGCATTGCGATCGGTTGTAGCAATTGCAAAACCCAGTCGCAAAGTAAGATCGTGTCTGAAAGCTTACCAATAGTAATCGATTTCGCAATTGTTGCCTGTTGTGATTGGGTGCTACAATCTTTATTACTCCCGATTACCACGGCATCCGATCGCAACGGATTCCACAGGCACTGATTGGCTGAGGTCAACCAAAACAGGACGACCTATAGTTGCTAGTGATGTAAAGTATCAAAGTAAAAAATGCTGTCTGAATGTTGTCGAAGTTTGCGAATGGTTGCGAACAAAGTGGATTACAACTGCTTACCACTGATTACATCGCAACCGGTCGCAATGCAAAGTCTAGTCTGAATGGGGTATGGAGTCACTAACTGGTATCACCAGTCTGTAATAATAACTCTTCATTATAGAAGCAACCTGTCCCACTTACTTCATAGTTCTTCAAAAAAAATTACCATATTCAATGCATAGATTTTCTTTGTGGCTACTGTTTTAATTGATCATGATTTACTTTTATAGCTAAACACTGATAAGTAGCACATAAAAAATGTTTAATTGTTTGTGGACAAGTTAATATTACTTCTTAATAGACATTTTTCTTTGTTTTCATATAGAAATAATGTTTTATAGTTTACATTTTTCACAAAGAAACGTAATATTTTTCAATTTAGTAATTGAAGATTTTAATTGAAGTATCATCATGATTTGTCAGAGCAACTCTCCTTGGATGATGAGAAATAATTGTTAGTCCCCATGGAAAATTTATTCCATCTTCATATCTGTCAATTCGTTTGATAAAACTGCCATCACTATTAAATAGCTGCAATTTGTTTTTACTTGATATTATGATGTTTCCATCATCATCTACAACCACTCCTCCAGGCTCCATTATTTTACCACTATCATCTCCTGGCCAAACAAGCACTTTCCTGAATTGATCTTTATCATATAGTTCTAGTTTATTATGAATATAATTTAATAAAAGCAACTTTCCGTCCTCTGCAAAAGTGACATCATTGTAACCACCTTGCTTAACACTAGTTCTGTTGATCACATTACTATCAATATCAAATCTAAATGCACCGTTATTGTAAAAACCTGTAGCATAAACTTCTGTTAATGGCTCATTCACTTTAACCCCAGATGGTGCATTCAAACATCCCTTTCCAATTGTCTTCTTTACCTGGCCGTCCATCGTACATATTTTGATACATTTGTCATTACCATCATCACTGAATGCTAAGTTGCCATTCATCATTTTGTACATTCTGTTGACACGTACGCCTTCTTGTAACGTTATTTTACCAATGTATTCTCCAGTTTGCTTGTACTTGTAGATGTCATTTTTCCAATATGCAGCTAATAAGCAGTTTTCTTGATTACACCACACAATATCTGTAACCTTTTTACCTACCTTGATCGTGTTCACTAAACCTTCTTTTTCTACATGTATCATTACTGGAGAATTCTTGACTGGTACACAATTAATACTAATATCTAGTTTGTATACACCAATATTTGTACACGCTCCTTTAACAATATAATTACCATCATCATCTTCTTGAACTGTCGTCATGTTGGTTTCTCCTGTAGATTCGACGGTCAATTTTGCATTTAGTTGACTTGCATGTATTTCACATGTTTCCATTTTGGCTAGTTTGACAGTAATTGTTTGGTACTGTGTCACACAAATATGTTTACTACAATTTACTTTTAAATAATCTGCTATTTTCTTTTCACTCACATTGCCAATCCCATGTTTTTTTAATTCGGTAATTTGATGTTTATTTTGAAAGAAGTGAATTTCTTGATTATTTTCTGTAGCTCCTTTGTTTATTTTACTTGGCAGTTCTTTGATTCTATCTTTCAATCCTGTAATAATTGCTTCACTTGATTGTAAAGCTATCGCTTCATCACTCTTTAAAAGCTGACATAGAAAATTTAATTTTCTCTTTACATCAGATACTGTTAATCTCAGCTCATGAACTTGGGCATCAATTTTATTCTTTCTCTTTTCATGTTCCCTTACTACTTTTATTTTTAATTCTTGTTCCTTATCCTTAATTATCTGGTACATTTCTTTTACATGATTGTCAATATCTCTCAAACTAGTATCTTTATTTTGGTCTAATTTTGTAGCATTGAGGAGCATTTTTGTTATCCCACTTTCTACTGTGGTTGTGAAATAATTGCAAGCTTCCTCGATTTCATTAGCAGTCTGTTTAAATTCATTGAAAGCTTCTGAAATATTAATAGCTTTATGACTTCCATCCGCTGCGTTATGGTCAGTAATAGCACAATGCATACATATTACGGTTTTACAATATTTGCAGTAAAACTTCAAAGGCTCATTGTGAAGTGAACACTGCTGGCGGTGTAATGAAGAAAACTCTAGGGGCGTCATGGATCGCAAATCTTCTATTTGGTGAAGTATGTGATTTTTAAGAGCTCGAAATTTCTTATGGTGGTCATAGCAAGTGGAACATATGTATTGTCTGCATTCCTGGCAATAATATGTAGCTTTTTTGCCAATTTCACAATTACATTCACATTTGTCTCTTTCCTCCATCTCTTCTATAGTTTGTAATAAGTTGTTGACAAAGGTACTTGGAGGAAGTTTCTCAAGCCCACCATCCGGAATTGGATATGATTTTGAGCAAGTTGGGCATATCAGCTCGCCATTTTTCTTGACCCAATCACACAAACATGACATACAAAAGCTATGAAGACAGCTTAATGATTTCGGCTGCTGGAGCCGTTTGAGGCAAATGGAACATTCCAATACCTTTTCCTCAAGATCTTCCAGGAATTTGCTTATCTTGTTTTCAGCCATGTTGATGTTAATATCCTTTAAATAAAAAATATACAATTGTACTGATTTTCGGTAATGTAATAAAAATGTGTACATATATTTTTCATTTTATGAAACCACGTTAAATTAGTTTTATTTTTAATACAGTTATGATCTTAGAGTGTAGTTCCACTGCACTGTGACAGGAAAAGATGCATTAGTTTTCTGCTTTAGCATTCTTGAATAATTTATATAGGTGATCAAACAAAATAAACGGGATATGTAAATATTTTGTTTGGCTGACATATCGGACATAAAAGATGATTACCATGACAGAACAAGACGTCGGAAGCGATCCGGCTGGTCCGGTTTTGGCCAGACCAATAATTTACAATATCGTTTGTAAGCCAAATTGTACGTTGTCTGACGCAATCAAACATAACTTGCACATTCAGCTTATTGAAAGCATGAAACAAATTTGAAATGATTTTATTTTTTACTGTAGTTAAGTATCAATAGCTTAAGCCTATTTATCATGATTTGATTCACCACGTAAATAATATTCGGGCCCCGAAATCTAGACTCAGAAACAAGGATGGCGTGAGGCGGGGAATAAAGAAAATACAACATCATACAATGAGTCATCACCTACATACACAAATAAATGTATATAAATTTATGAGGGGCACTTTAGGACGAACTTTGTACATGCACTCTACAATATGGCTAATGCAGTCTAAACTATTACAAAGTATAGTAAAAATAACATAACAGTATTTAACAGTGTATTATAGTAAAATAAATGTATTAGGTATAACCTAACACCTAATAATATATATGTATATATATGTTTGTGCTTTGCATATATATATATATATATATATATATATATATATATATTATTATTATTATT